CCCCTACGGCGGCCGTAAGGTAAACGGGTTTCTTTTCCTCTTCATCAAAATAGGCGTCGGCCTTCCTCTGCCAGAAGCAAATCAGCACAACAAACACTGCCACCGACCGGTACATAGTTAAACGTTAAAATCCATGCAGAACTCGAGTGTCGTTTTGGATGCTGTTACGATGGTGCCCTACCAAAAACGTTTTTCAAATAGCCTTTGGAAGGGAGGGAGCTAACAAAAGTCTCATACACACGTCTAAAGTGAATGAATAAAAAGAATTTCATTTTAAGTTCATATTAATTAGATTATATGATTCATATTAGATATTTGTAGTTTTATAAAACGACTTTACTTAATTAAATATTTTCGGTATTTAGGTGCCTAAGTGACTTAAGAGGTTATCATTAAAGGTTAAAGATCAAAAAGTAAGTTCGAATGCGGTTAAATAAATTGATTAAGGATAATTTAAATTTAAGTGATGATGTTGACACTATTTTCTTTTTTAAATACTATAGAAATGAAGATGTTTACTAAAAAAAATGTATGATACGAAGGCGGAAAACGTAAATTACAGTCTGCGGGACTTAACTTACCAATTACGCTTATTACCGACCATCTAGTTTTATTACCCGCCCACCGTCGCCGAAGAAGTTGGTCAGATTTCTAACTCTATCAACATAAATTCTTTTTATAAAAGAAACTACATTAATACATTAAGAAATAATTAACCCTATATAAACTTGTTGTACTTTAGAAATAATTACAATAAAAATTTAAGAATAATTTTGCATAATATTAATATAATTGATTGCGAATGATTGTATTTTTTCATTTAACTATTAACCATCGTGTTGGGAGCATTTTCATCCGGTTAAAACCTTTTCGTCTAAATGAACTACGTGAATGGGCTATTATTCGATTTAATTATTTGAATTCTACCTGCTATTGTAATGAGGGCAACAATAAAACGTATTGTAGAGTTGTATTTTATTTATAAACGCTGGCGTAACACATTTTATATGTTATAATGGAAAGTTAGTTTCAAGTGGAGGAAATCCACCTATGCGAAGTTAGTAGATATAATTCGATAAGATTATTTGATAATATGTAATAACCGATTTTGTTAATAATAATAATATATATATTTATTGCCCAACAAAGTACCAATTACAGGACAATATTACACAATAATCAATTAAACACTAAGCGAAAACATTGCAATTGTCTTTCAGGTTTACAAGTCTGAACATTCTTTATAGCGGAGCGCTAGTCTGCACGTTAGTTCTACTATTCTTCAAATAGAAGACACAGCTGTATCGGATAGCGTGGCTGGGTACACTGAAGTTAATACAAGAGTCAGTGCCACGAATAGGATAAGCTCCATCCATGCGAAAGGAAAGGTATTTTAAAAAGCTTTTTTGAATTCTCCCCTATATAAGACGATGCGAGATATAATGCGGCGACCATACAACAGAACCATATTCTAGTTTCGGTAGAACAAGCGCCCGAAAAAGCGATGTGTATACAGCAGAATCCATGAATAAACGTGAAGTACGGAGCATAAAGCCAAGCATCCTCGCAGCACAGGAAGCGACATCCTTTACGTGCGGTAAAAACGATAGTCTGCTATCAAAAGTTGGCTAGTTAAGAACATCCAAGTAACATTTTTAAGAAAACTGAGTTATGTCACTTTTTGAACTTCTCTGTCATTACATTAGTTAATGCAAAGGTAATGGAAATACTATTGAGCACTCTTATTAACAAAGTTGTATTTGTGACATTTTTGCACTGTCCTAGAAATATAAAATGATTAGTGCAAATGTGAACTAAGTTACTGGAATGCTACTTGGATCCCCTCACTGTGGACTTTAACCTACATTAGTGCAGAAATAATCCATGTCGATTTATTTTTTTTATTTTTCATTCCTCTTTTGGTACGTCGTCACCACGCCATATTGTCTGATTTATTGATAAAAAATTAAAAAATGTTGAAATTAATATTTACACGCAATTAATTTATAATTTTTTAATGAGGGATTTAAATGATTAATAATGACAAAATACATACAGAAGTAAAAAGCTTTGAAAATGAAAAATGTCTAAATTAAGTGTAGGTATTGCAAATAGTTTGTCAATCAAACACTGAAATTTTAATGGCATTTACATTTTTCATTTTCAAACTTTTTATGAGTGTACGTGTTTCGTCATTAATCAATCATTTAAATCTCATAATAGAAAATTACAAATTAATTACATAAAATAAAACCGTTAACTTTATATTGGCGCCAAAACAATAACTCGTATCTCAACATCTTCAAAAGCACAGCGTGTTATTGCTGTGCTTTTGAAGATTTTGAGTAAGTCCTTAGGAGTGAGTAGGGGTGTTGTGCTGCCCGTTAATAAAATAGGTATGTAGTTTTATTTTTTATATTATATTATCTGATAATGATTTAACAGAACATAAATAACTGCTTTTCTTTTGAATATTAAGCAGTGAATTCAAAATTCATTCAATTAACTTCTTATTATGTACTTTTAAACTTGTAATTACTTACGTGTTATTGATTTCAATTTTAAATTTGTTTTACGTGGTATTGTTACTTTGTTTTTATTCTAAATATTATTATAGATAACGCAATAATGGATAATTCAAGATCAAAAAGGATTTTACAAATGTGCAATGTAGTAACCCAGCCAAATAAATTACCAAAGTTATGTGATACTCTTTATAGCGTAATGTTAAGCGATGCGAAGAATAA